GATTTTACTTGAGTCTCAAATGACACTTTGGTATTGAACTTTTGAGCAATGCTGGAATGGTCAAAAAATGGGAATCTTGGAGATAAGTAAATACATTTTGCCTTGTGAGATGGACAAGAGCTTTTGGGGACCAATGTGGAATGTTATGGTTTGGATATAAGGTGTTCTCCAAAAGCTCCAGTGTTAAAGCAAGAATATTTGGAAATTAAATGTGATTTAATTTGTGAGATTGTGAGAACTGTAACCTAACTGTCTGTCCTAGTTTGAATGGACTGGGTGGTAACTGTAAGCAGGTGAGGTGTGGCTGGAAGAGGTGGGTCACTGGGGATATACCCTAAGAGGGTTCATCTTCTCTGTGGCCTCTTCCTCTATTCTCCCTCTCAGCTTCCTGGCCACTTGGCAGGAGCAACTTCTCTTCACCATGCCCTTGCATCATGATATTCTGCCTCACCTTGGGCTCAGAGCAATGGACTTGGCCAACTATGGACTGAATCTTTGAAGTCATGAGCCAAAAAAAATTTTCCTCAGTTGTTTGTGTCAGGTAATTTGGTCACAGTGACAAAAAAAAAAAAGGGCCTTGCTAAGTTGCTCAGGCTGGCCTAGAATTTATAATCCTTCCTTAGCCTACAGAGTAGCCAGTATTAGCAGTATGAACCACTGTACCCAGCTAAAGATAAATAATCTTTTCAAAAAATATACTGGAAAAATGAATATTCATGTGCAAAAACAAAACACACACACAAAAATCTCCTTATACTATATTCGATAATACAGTAATATGGGCTGGGCATGGTGGCACATACTTATAATCCCAGCAGCTCAGGAAGATGAGGCAGGAAGACCGAGAGTTCAAAGCCAGCCTAGCAAGATGAGATGCTAAGCAACTCAGTGAGACCCTGTCTCTAAATAAAATACAAAATAGGGCTAGGGATGTGGCTCAATGGTTGAGTATCCCTGAGTTCAATCCCCAGTACCCCTCCCCTACAAAAAAGAATAATACAATAGTCTGAATGTTTGTGTCCACTCCAAATTCCTAGGTTGAAATCCTAACCCCCAGATGAGGGCATTAGAAGATAGAGACCTTATGGAGGGCAGAACTCTCAGGAATGGGATTATTACCCTTATAAAACAGGTCTCAAAGAGCTGCCTTGCTCTCCCACAACATGAGGACATAGCTAGAAGGCATCACCTATAAGCCAAAAAGCAGCCCTTGCTAGCCACCAAATCTGCCAGTGCCTTGATCTTCAATTTCCTGACATCCTGAGCTGTGAGAAATAAATTTATATTGTTTACAAACTGCATAGTTCATGATATTTTACTATAGCAACTCAAATGTACTAAGACAAATTATAAACTCAAAATGGACAATAGACCTAAATGTAAGAGCTAAAACTGTAAGATTCCTAGAAGAAAGCATAAAAGAAAAGCTTTGAAACCTTCAGTTAGGTCACGATCTCTTAGGACACCAAAAGTACAATTCATCCATAAAAGCAAATATGATAAACTGGACCTCATTACAATTTTAAAATGCATGCTATTCAAAAGAAAACTATTAAGGAAATTAAATGGTAAGCTTCAGATGAAGAGAAGAAAACTCATAACTCTGATAAAAGAATTATATCAGAAAATATAAAGAACTTTTACAACTCAGTACTTAGATAATAAATAATTTTTGAAACAGGCTAATGATTTAAAAGACATTTCACCAAAGTGGGCATACAAATGGTTAATAGTACATGAAAAGATGTTAACATCATTGAAACCACAATAAGCTACTACTATTCATTTACCAGAATGGTTGTAATCTAAAAAATGGACAATACCAAGTGTTGAGAAGGATGTAGAGAAACTGGAAACCTTCTACATTTCTGGGAAAGTGGGGGTTAAAATGGCAAAGCAGCTAACAAAAACAGTTTGGTAGTTATTAAAAAAGCTTAACGTGTATCTACCATATTAAGCATAGCTACCACACAACCCAGAAATTCCATTCCTAGGTATCTATCAAAGGGAATTGAAACATGTCTATACAAAAACCTCTATGAATTCTCACAGCAGTATTATCCATAACACCAAACACTGGAAACAATCCAATATCCATCAAATAGATAAACAGATATATAAAATATGATATATCCATTCAACAAAACACTATTCAACAATAAAAAGGAAAAAAACTTTTTATGGATACATACTACAATGCAGATGAACTTAAAACATATGAAGGATACCATATATAAAAGATTACAAATTATGTTATTTCATTTGTACAAAATTTCTTGAAAATGCAAACCAACAGAGACAGAAATCGGCTATTTCCAAAGCGTAGAGTTGGGGTTGGGGATGTAGTTCAGTAGCAGAGCATTTGCCGACCATGTGTGAGGTGTTGAGTTTGAGTCACAGCACTGCAAAAACAAAACGAAACAAAACCAAAAAAATTAAATGTGGGGATGGAGCTGAGAAATGACTGGAAGTGGGCACAGGAAGTCTCTTTGAGAATGAAATAGTTTAAAACTAGGTTTTAGTGCTCATAATGAATTACCAGAAATCTCTGAATGGCATGCTTACAATGTGTGGTTTTTGTGTTAAATAAATTAAACACTAACAAATTTGTAAAAAATGACAAAATGTAAGTTTTAAAAAGCCATATATTTGGAGAATTTAAAACACTATTAAACTCATATGTCAAAAAGAAAATCACTTTAAATATTTAAAACAGAACAGTTATGTATATACTGGAATAGATATGTATATACTGCAGAGCACAATTTGGGGACTGCAACCAAGGTAATATGTAGATTGAAATATATGGAAAAGCAAATATTTGACCTAACAGGAAAGAATTGTCTGAAAAAAATTATTAATTAAATACCTAACTTTAAAGCAGTTTTTAAAAATATTATAATAATCCCGCAGAAGAAATAAGCACAGCAACTAACAAAACAAAATAAAGACAGAAAAGAGAGATTGAACAAGGCCAAATTCTAGTTTTTTGATGGTGATTTGTTGTTGTGCTGGGGATTGAACCCAGTGCTTCCTGCATGCTAGGTAACCATTCTACTTCTAAGCCACATTCCCAACCCAAATTCTACTTCTCTGAAATAAGAAGTCACTGGTAAGACTGATGAAAATATGGAGAAAAGTCGCAAATATAAATAAAATTATGAATTAAAAGATAACATAATGGTTTTTTTTAAAGAGAGAGAGATAATTTTTTTTAATATTTATTTTTTAGTTTTTGGTGGACACAACATCTTTGTTTGTATGTGGTGCTGAGGATTGAATCCGGGCAGCACGCATGCCAGGCGAGCGCGATACTGCTTGATCCATATCCCCAGCCCAACATAATGGTTTTTAATTTTTTTATGGCAATGGGGATCAAACTCAGTGTATATGAGGCAAGTGTTCTATCACTGAATTATATCTCCAGTCCACAAAACTTTTCACAGTATTATGCTCTAAATTTTAATGCAGTTATGCATCACTTGATGACAGGGATATGTTCTGAGAAATGCTTTATTAGGCAATTTCTACACTATACAAATATCACAGAGTATACTTACACAAAGATGGCTACAACCATAATAGATAATATAAGCTGATTGGACCACCATCATGTAGTCCATAGATGACCAAAATGATGTTGTGGGGCACATGAATTACACTTAAATATAATGGACAAATTCTTTTGTAATAACCAAAACTATAATTAGCAAAACTGACTAAGTAAGAAAGGGATATCCTCTATAGTTCCATAAGGGTAAAGGAATAGAATCAGTAATTAAATTTCTTTTTATAAAATAAAACACTAGAACTCAAAACATGAGGCCTACCATAATATTTTTTAACCTTTATTGTTTATTTATTTATATTTATATTTATTATTATTATTATTAGTTGTACACAATACCTTTACTTTGTTTACTTATTTTTATGTGGTGCTGAGGATCAAACCCAGGGTCTTGCGCTGAGCCACAACCCCAGCCCTATTTTATTTATTTATATGTGGTGCTGAGGATCAAACCCAGTAACTCACACGTTCTAGGCAAGCACTCTGCCACTGAGCTACAACCCATTACCAATTTTATATAATACTGGAGGAGAATTTCTAACAAGTAAAATAGCACTGCAATAAAGATACAAAAGACACATAAGTAAGAAAGGAAATAAGATATTCACTAATCACAGACAACGTGATTATACTAAAACAGAACCTAAAATCCATTGGAATTAACAGTGTAATAAAGTAGCCAGGTTCATACACAAAAGTCCATTTCATTTATATACATTAGCAAAAATTAGACAATGTAATTTTAGAAATCAACAGATGTAACAGCTACAAGGATAACTATAATAAAAAAAAAACCTGGAAAATAACAAGCACCACGAAGAAACTGCAACCCTTATACATTGCTGGTTGGAATACAAAATGATACAGCTGCTTTGGAATACTGTTTGGAAGCTCCCCCCCTCCCAAAAAAGAAAGAAAGAAAGAAAGAAAAGTAATTCAGCTTTTACATAAATATCCAATAAGTATGTATATCCATACAAAATCCTGTACATAAATGTTCACAGCAGCATTATCCATAATAGTTAAACATGGGAAAAAACTCTAAAGGTACATCAAGTGATGAATGCATAAGCAAAATAAGGTATATTTAGATAATAGATCATGAAATAAAACCATAAGAAGGAATAAAATACCAATACATACTATAACATTATGGTAAGTGAAATAAGCCAGACATAAAAGGTCATGTATTCAATGATTCCATTCATATAATGAAATGTCCCAAATGTGAAAATAATAGAGTCAGAAAGTAGATTTGTAGTTGTTAGCAGCTGGGGAGGATTATGGAAATGGACAGTGATGAGATAGAGATAAAATTTTACATAATTTTTTTAAAAGTCGGTTTGAAAAGAAGAGCTATTAAACAGCAGCATTTAAATCATTATAAAAGTGCCTGAACCAAAAAAAAAAATATTTCTTTTTTCATTAACAGGTAATGGTACAAATACTTTACAGGAAGCAGAAGTACATTATATTTCTCGAACAATTTGTAATTCTGAGTGGAGTTATCGGGGAGTAATTCCTAACACTTCATTTTGTGCAGGTGATGAAAATGGAAGCTTTGATACATGCAGGGTAAGACCAAATAAATTTCCTTTAAGATATTTTCTAAAGCCAGAAGAGGACTTGAATAAAGTCTTTTATTATTTTCTCATGATCTTAATTATCAGACCTAAAAAATCAAATTCTTTTCTTCTCTTTTTTAACTACTTCAATAATCTAATCTTGGCTCCCAATTCCTTGATTTTACTTAGGCAAAAGTAAAATCAGGGATTGAACTCAGGGGCACTCAGCCACTGAGCCATATCCCCAGCCCTATTTTGTATTTTATTTGGAGACAGGGTCTCACTGAGTTGCTTAGCACCTCACTTTTGCTGAGGCGGCTTTGAACTCACAATCCTCCTGCCTCAGCCTCCTGAGCTGCTGGGATTACAGGTATGTGCCATCATGCCTGGCTCTGGTGTTTTTCTTTTTCTTTTTTTTCTTTTATGATACTGGGGATAAAACTCTGGGCCTCATAGATGCCAGGTAAGCACTCTACTGCTGAACTAGGTCCCCAGCCTCCCCTTTGTGGTTTTTGACTCCACCCTCTTTCATACACTACTTCCAAATCTACTGGCCTTCACTTTCAAGAGTTCTTCATGTTCATACTTTTCTACTCTATTGCAATCTAGGTTTTATCTTTCCTATGTCTTTTCCTTAAAAATTAAAAAGTTTGTAGTTGTAGATGGATAATATGCCTTTATTTTGTTTATTTTTTTAATGTAGTGCTAAGGATTGAAGCCAGTGCCTCACACATGCTAGGCAAGCGCTCTGCCATTGAGCTACAGCCCCAGCCCTTCCTTTGATGAGTAAAGCAGTAAAAAAATCCAATTTAGTTGATCTGTATTTCTAGGCAAAACATCTTTTTTTTTTTTTTAAAACATTTATTTTTTAGGTGTAGCTGGACACAACACAATGCCTTTATTTTTATGTGGTGCTGAGGATTGAACCCGGGTCCTGCCCGTGCTAGGTGAGCGCTCTACCGCTGAGCCACAATCCCAGCACAAAACATCTTCATTATTAAAAAATAATTATCCAAGTCAGGCACAGTGGTGCACACTATAATCTCAGCTATTGGGGCGGCTAGGACAGGAGGATCCCAAGTTCCAGCCAGCCTCAGCAATTTAGTGAAACCCTGTTTCAAACTAAAAAAATAAAATGGGCTGCAGATATAGCTCAGTGGTAAAACATCCAAGTTAAATCCTCAGTACCAAAAAAAAAAAAAAAGGAAAAAACTAATTAAAAATATTCAATAGAGATTTGAATAGTGCATTGTAAATACTCAGAAACAAAGCTTTAGGCATTGAAATAGTTATCTCAGTATGTCTCTCTGTTGCTTTGAGTGCATTTTTAACAATCCTTAGTAATAGTTCTGGATTCATTAACAGTCAAATCTAAATTATAAAAGAGTTATTTATTTATTTATTTAACTGGCAATTTAACCCAGGGGCTCTTTACCACTAAGCTGCATCCCTGGCTCAGGCCTGCTAAATTGCTGAGGCTGGCTTGTGATCCTCAAACTTGTGATCCTCCTGTTTCAGCTTCCTGAGTTGCTGGGATTATAGGCCTGCACCACCATGCCCAACATGACTTGTTATTTTAAAATACTACGAGAATCTTCATCATTTCTTTCCATTTTCTTGCACTAGCTAATGTCAACAATCAAAAACGTACAATCTCTTTCAAAAATGCCAATTTACTCGTCTCTAGCTAGCAAACCACCCCTGCAGCTCTAAAAGAATCCTTCATAGATCTTAAAATATGCCTTTTATACTAAGTATAAAAGTCTAATGAGATAGTCTAATGAACAGGTTTTATAATATTTTGCACACTTCCCAAATTATATTTCTCTTGAGCAGTTGTATTAAAAAATCCAATTTCATTTATAGTATTCTGGTTCAAAATTATACAGATGAGTTTATCCACCAGCTATATGGTTCCTTCACACACCTGGTCAGACTATATACCTCCTGCTGAAGTTGGAATATTAAACTAAAAATCTATTGATTTACAAAGCATGATGATAATTTTCTACAAGGGCATATTAAAATTTATGTGACCGGGCTAGGGATGTGGCTCAAGCGGTAGCGCACTCGCCTGGCATGCGTGTGGCCCGGGTTCGATCCTTAGCACCACATACAAACAAAGATGTTGTGTCCGCCGAAAACTAAAAAATAAATATTAAAAAAAAATCTCTCTCTCTCTCTCTCTCTCTCTTGAAAAAAAAAATTATGTGATCTAGGTGCCTCTCTACCACAACCTATCTCTCTGTAAGTCCTTCCCTGCACTTCATTCTGTTAGCTAGCCAGTGACTGAAAACAACAACAACAAAAAATACTATGCTATCACTTGAAGGAATATGAAAAGGAATATTTATATAAATATATGTTTAATGTAATTAATTTATCTCAACTCTACTGTTGCTTGAAGAACTAGAAGTGGTTAACACTATTTGGACACTTTTTTAATAGGGTGACAGTGGTGGACCATTAATGTGCTACTTACCGGAACATAAACAATTTTTTGTGATGGGAATTACCAGTTATGGACATGGCTGTGGTCGAAAACATTTTCCCGGTGTCTACAGTGGACCATCCTTCTTCCAAAAGTGGCTAACAGATCATTTCTCCCAGGGAAGCACTAAATGCATATTTGATGTACATATTTTAATTGGAGAGATCCTCATAGCTTTAGGTTCTAGCATCTTACTAGCAACAATATAAAGAAATTCTGAAGACTTTACCATCTTTATTTTGCATTGTGTCCCGTTCTATTTTCTACATAATGAAAACAATTTTTTTAACAATGAATTGCTCACTTTTTGAGTTCTCATGTGAACAATTTTTTGCAAAAAATGACTGTGACATATCAGATAGACAATTGTAAATCTAGCACCAAATCACATGCCTCCTTGATAGAATTTGCTTTGTTTTATAATCATAATTTTGTATTTAGAATAGTTGCCTAGATTTATATAAAATATTCAATTAAATATGTATTTTATGTGTGTAAATGCCAAGTAATAAAGAGTTTATAATTAAAACAAAACTGTTCTTTGGTTAAATTAATCAAAATTCCTGTTAAGTTAGATTTTACTTTATTTATCATAATTTTTGATCTATGATATTTTAAAATTACAATCTTTTTCTGGTTCTTAAAGGATATGGAAACAAGTGTTTGCTTATCATTTAAATTCTAGCTTTTTAAAATGTTTTTGCAGTGCTGGAAATCAAACCCAGAATGTAATGCTTCCGAGGCAAGGCTCTACCATGAAGCCCTACTTAGTATTTAAATTCTAATTAAATCAATTTATTGAATATCAATATTTATTTCCTGTGCCAAGAAAGAACTATGGTACAAACATCCCCAAATCTTTTACTTTTTATTTAGAAATTTGTAATGTGACTTTTTTCTGTTATTATTTACCTGCCTTCTAAAGTTTATCTTCCTGAAGCCCATGTTAAATTTGTATCCTATCATCATTCTGAATTAAATGAAGATAAGTGAGCAAGAGGCATGCTGTGTAAATGCAGGAAGCCAACCTGGGATAACCTTATGATTAATCAAAAATGAATTATTGGGGCTGGGGATGTGGCTCAAGCGGTAGCGTGCTTGCCTGGCATGCGTGTGGCCTGGGTTCGATCCTCAGCACCACATACAAACAAAGATGTTGTGTCTGCCGAAAACTAAAAAATAAATATTAAAATTCTCTCTCTCAAAAAAAAAAAATACTTCTTGAACACACATCAATTTATAAAAAAAATGAATTATTGAGGGCTGGGGTTGTGGCTTAGTGGTAGTGTGCTTGACTGGCACATGTGAGGCACTGCGTTTGATCCTCAGCACCACATAGAAATAAATAGATAAATAAACTGTGTCTATCTACAACTAAAAAATTTTTTAAAAAATGAATTATTGAAATAAAAGGTTGAATTGCTATTTATTATTAGCCAACTCATATCTCCTTTGATCTTTAAAGAATACATTTAACAAATGAAAAATAATTATCTTCTCATGCTTTTTACATTCAGCCAGCTAAAACCTAATACTTATTGTTCTTTTGCCTTATTCTGATATCAGAATTTAACTAAAAGAAAACACAAATTTCCCACTTATTAATATCCTTAGAGATCATTACTGATTTGACACTCTCAAAGGAAAATGAATATGATTTTTAAGGAGTGAACAACACTGAGGGGATGTTGATGGTTTTTGTCTTCAAAGAGATCCTAGTTTATCCATTGACAAAGTCTTATAAGGAAATAGTTGCTAATGTAGCATAATGTGTTAGTCTCTTCCTATTTATACTGGGTATCATCCAGATTCACGTTGTAGCCGTGAATGTTAATAAAAAGAAATTCGCCTAAATGCATTGATGGCACTGGAGAGGAAGGCTTTGATTTACACTTCAAAGACATCTCCTAATTGCTCTTTAAGTCTATGTTTTTAAAGTAGACTTTAAGTCTCTGGCAGGAGCCACTTTCCTTTTGGCCTAGCTTTGTTCAGCTGACTGAAATGAAGTTAGAAACATTCCTTTTCACCAAAAGGGACTATTCATTTTTTTTTTAAATTTTTTATTGTTGGCTGTTCAAAACCTTACATAGTTCTTGATATATCATATTTCACAATTTGATTCAAGTGGGTTATGAGCTCCCATTTTTACCCCATATACAGATTGCAGATAAAATGAACACTTAGCCAATAAACAATAATAGAATAACCATATGATGCTTACTCTTTGTTAGGTATTATTTCAAAGTGCTTTTTAGATATATACACATATATTTTATATATTAGACAATTGTTTTTTGTTGTTGCTGTAGTGAAAAAATTGGAAGAAGATCTGGCAATCTTCTTTAAATCTTAAAGATGTACAACTGTGTATAAACATTGTGGTATTTCACTGGGTTTGATAATACAACAAGGAGGTATAGCATCTTACATACATTTTTGTATTTTGAATAAAAGTTCAATTTCAATTCAAAAAAAAAAAAAAAAAGGGACTATTCACACACAGACTTTGGGAATCCAAGACGGACTTTGTTTCAGATACTATTCCGTTTCTTAAAGAATTTGGATGATTATTAATGCCTATTTACAGCATTGCTGTGATTATTAAGTAAGTTGAGGATGTGAAGTTCCTGATATTTGAAGGTGCTCAAAAACTGGTTTCTCTTATTAATACCAGATCCATGCATCACTCGCTCCTTTTCATTATGAAGATTATTATCCTGTCAGAAAAAATATCTCAGACCTTTCATTTCAAAATATTACTGGAACAAAGCATCCTTTTCTACTTATAAACTCATATTTTAAAATATACTGTTTTTTAAAAAATACATTTGCCTTATTTTTCTAATTCCCAAAATATTATATCCTCATTATTAAAAATTGAGAAAGTGCAGAAAAATAGGAAGAAAATAATTTATAGCCCAGCTATGCAAAGACAGCTACTAAAAAAAAAGTCCTGCCTTTTCCATTCACTATAATTATTCTTACAAATTCTTCCAAATATTATTGTACCCCAGCTATTTTGAAAACTTTCAAACTGCAGAAAAGTTGAAAAATACTACTATGATTATCCATACATACTTCACCTTTATTCCCCAAATAGCAACACTCTTGTCTTGTTTTTTTCTTTTTTTTAAAAAAAAACTTCCTTTTTAAAAAATATATTTATTTTTTAGGTGTAGATGGATACAACACAATGCCTTTATTTTTATGTGGTGCTGAGGATCAAACCTGGGTCCTGCCTGTGCTAGGCAAGCGCTCTACTGCTGAGCCACAATCCCAGCCCACACTCTTGTCTTGTTTGCACTTGTGGTCTTTGTTTCTTCCTCTCCCCACACATATCTATTTCTTTTTCGGTGGAACAACTTAAAAGTAAATTGCTGAGCTGGGGCTGTAGCTCAGTGGCAGAGTGCTTGCTTAGCATGTGCGAGGTACTGGGCTTGATTCTTAGCACCACCTAAAAATAAACAAATAAAATAGAGGCATGCCATCTATCTACAACTAGGGGGAAAAAAAGGATTTATGAACTTATAGCATACCAATAAAACATTATTTTAAAAAAAGTAAATTGCTGACACCATATTACTTCATCTCTAACATATCAGCATGGATCTCCTGAAAACAAGGACATAATCACAATACCATATGCATACCCAAGAAATTTAACACTAATTTGTTAGTTCTTTCATAAATTGTATACTCATTTCTTTGGTTCACTGATCTACTGTTTAGGGTCCTATAACTTTGTATTCTTTCATTTTGGGGAGAGGAAGGGGGTACCAGGGATTGAACTCAGGAGAGCTCAACCACTGAGCCACATCCCCAGCCCTATTTTATATTTTATTTAGAGATAGGGTCTCACCTGAGACCTCACCATTGCTGAGGCTGGCTTTGAACTCATGATCCTCCTGCTTTAGCCTCCTGAGCTGCTGAGATTATAGGCATGTGCCACCACGTCTGGTTTATATTCTTTCATTTTGTTCATAAAAATATGGTATGTATTCATTATTAAAAAAAACCCCACACACAACCAGGCATGGTGGTATACACCTGTACTCTCAGCTAATCAGGAAATGATGATATTAATGATCATCCTTCTTACAATGGAAGCTGGAAGCTAGAAGACATGAATGAAAATCAAAAGAGAACAGGTGTAGCTATACTTATGTCAGAAAAAAATGCACTTTATTTCCCAAAACTGTAAAAAAAAAGACAAAGAAGTACTTTATAATTATAACGGGATCAATTCATCAAGAAGATATAACAGTTTACACATGTACCTAACATGAGAACATATAAATGTACCAACAATACTAAAGGATCTGAAGTAAGAGATATTTTGTAATATAATACTAGTAAGGGTCTTCAGTATTCCATTATCAACAATAAACTGATAATCCAGATAGAAAATTAATAATAACATTGGTCTTGAACAAGCACTTCATATCAAAGAGACCTAAAAGACATATATGGAACATTTAATCCAACAGCAACAAAATATATATTCTTCTCAAGAGCACATGGAACATTCTCCAAGATAGATCGCATGTTAGGGAATAAAACAAGGCTTAGTAAACCTAAGACTGAAATTACAATAAGTATATTTCCTGACCACAGTGGTATGAACTAGAAATCAGTAACAGCATGAATTTCAGAAAATTCACAAATATATAGGAATTAAACAGTGGATCAATGAAGTAATTAAAAGGGAAATTTCAAAATATCTTAAGATAAACAAAAATGGAAAAACAACATAACAAAATGTATGGGATACAGCAAAAGCAATTCTAAGAGGAAAGCTCAGCCTTAAAAGCCTACATCAAAAAAGAATAGGTTGGGTATGGCAGCACATGCATGTAATCCCAGCTACTAAGGAGACTGAGGCAGGAGAATCTTTGGGGCCCAGAAGTTTGAAACCAGTCTGGACAACATAGCAAAACCCTGTCTCAAAAAATAAATAAATAAAAAAGAAGAAAGATCTCAAAACCAACCTAATGTTATACCTCAAGGAACTAGAAAAAGAAGAACAAATTAAGTCCAAAGTTAGCAAAAGGAAGGGGATAATAAAGATCACAGAAGAAATAAATAGACCAGACAATATCAGAGATCATGGACACATGCCACCATCCAGGTAGGATAAATTCTTTGTAACCTTGAAATACATAAGGATTTCTTAGGAAAAAAATCCATAGAACTAAGGAAAACAATTATAATTTGGACATCACCAAAAGAAAATTTTAAAAAGGTAAGATGTATAAAAAGGAGAAGATGCCATTCAAACACACAAACATACATACACATACACATATTAATATGTGTCTGACAGTACCTAAAGAACACTTTCTACTTAAGAGAAACACAACTCAATTATAAAATGCACAAATAGCTGGGCATGGTGGCATGTCCCTGTAGCTACTTGGGAGGCTAGACAAGAGGATTGCGTCATTCAAAGATAGCCTGGGTGAGAAAGAAGATGATGGATTAGAGGATGGGTACACTTCC